GTGTGGGTGTGTGTGTGCGTGTGCGTGTGCGTGCGTGTGTAACCCTCTCCTTCCTCTTCTACCACGGATCTTGACTAATCACGTGCGGCTTTAACCGAAAGGGGGAAAAAACAGGAGGAAAAAAAAAAGTCGGCTCCCATTAAAGCGGCTCCCTCTTAGGAGCCGGCTCATGTCGTTCACTTCAAAGAGCTAAGAGCCGGCTCGTTCGCGAACGACACATCACTCCAGTCGACCTGCTGCCACAGTTTCTGATTCCACTGCATCGCTTGTGCTTGTGCTTATACACGAGTTCTTTTTGTTAGTACTCAATATACACTATATTAAAGTGGATAAAGGCATACAGCCAAATGCCAGCTGCAGTAAATTATTTTTTTTCGTGCTTGATTTGTTATTGCGGTTTTAACTATTGCTTTACTGGAGTTATCGTGTGGTCTCTGTCGTGAAAGACATTAAGATGCAGTTCACTTGAAAATACAGGTACCGGTACGTGAAAAAAAAAATGTAGCCAAATGCCAGCTGCCGTAAATTGTTTTTTTTCGTGCTTGATTTGTTATTGCGGTTTTAACTATTGCTTTAATGGAGTTATTGTGTGGTCTCTGTCGTGAAAGACATTAATATGCAGTTCACTTGAAAATACAGGTACCGGTACGTGAAAAAAAAATGTCTGGCTGATCCTTTTGCCTGTTCCTGTTCGAAATGGCCCTAATTATTTGTTCAACAGAGTGTATTGTTACGTCACTTCTGCTTCTGACTCGCCATTTAGATTTTACATCCTGTAAAATTAAGCAAACAAACAAACAAAAACATATTTTACCTTGTTGGGCACATCAGTTAGAAGTAAAAATTGTAATTTCAGTTCCTTGTTTCAACGTGATAGTTCTTCCACCCCCACGTACTGTTGCTAACTGGTCAGATTTTGTTGAAGAATTGGTCTTTTGCATAAAATTATTGTCTTGCAAATATCGTAAGGAAAACAAATCTCTTAAAATTTTAGAGAGGTACTATTCTCCAAAAAAAATTATCTCAATAAATTTTTTTTAAAAAAGACAAACTTTTTTTACGTTGCCTTTGCTCTTCCTCTTTCTCTCCGGAGATGTCGCTGCTCCATTCCCCCTCATGATGCTGTTGTATTTATCCATGGCATTGCATGCATTTATGAACGGATTCGTTGTTTTATTGCTGCTCATTGTTCAATATACACTGTATTAAACTGAGTATAGTATTATAAACAAATTCCCAATACAATTCATTGATAAAATATTTTCTCCATTTTTTGTTGGTCTTTGTACATCGTTAGCCTGTTTGATTGAATAGCAAGTTCAGATACCTGTATAGGTTTAAACAAATGTCCGGCTGATACGTTTGTCTTTGTTGGTCAAAACATGTTGCTTTACAATCTGCGATGTGTCTTCGTAAATGATTATGTAATATCAAAGATAAATAATATACAATACTTTCAGCTTCTTTCATTAGAAAGGACAGATGGTTACTTTTTCAAAGTTTCCAACTACTGAATAATTGCGTGAGGTGGTTAACATCGGTTTTTAATGGTGGGTCTACTGTTTGCTAAAAATTGTTAACTGACCTGGCAATCAATATGATTTTTTTTTAACCTTGCATTGATTCTAATGCTGAGAAATTCATATGGTTTTCTCAGCAAAATTTGCCCAACAAGAAAGACAGTAACAGCAAGTGATGTATTCAGAATCTTTTTAAAAAAATATTGTTGGTAAAAGAGCAAAATTTCCTTCAAATGTTAATTTAGATTTGATTTGACTTCATGATCAAAAATAATTAATTGCAATTACTTTTATTGAATCTTCTGATAAACTCACATTATGCTAAGTGAATCCAATTGACGTAGGCGTTCCCAGCAAGCCCTCACAACACGTTTGGGTCTGCCAGTTTGGACGGGCATTTTCCCCCACCATTGGAGCCAAAACACCATGGGGTGGTGATCAGTTGACAGCTCTGCCCCCCTCACCACCCAAGTATCCAAAACATGCGACCGCAAATCCAATGATGCAACCACAAAGTCAATCATCGAACTGTGGCCAAAGGTGGTGTGCGTGCGTGTGCGTGCGTGTGTAACCCTCTCCTTCCTCTTCTACCACGGATCTTGACTAATCACGTGCGGCTTTAACCGAAAGGGGGAAAAAACAGGAGGAAAAAAAAAAGTCGGCTCCCATTAAAGCGGCTCCCTCTTAGGAGCCGGCTCATGTCGTTCACTTCAAAGAGCTAAGAGCCGGCTCGTTCGCGAACGACACATCACTCCAGTCGACCTGCTGCCACAGTTTCTGATTCCACTGCATCGCTTGTGCTTGTGCTTATACACGAGTTCTTTTTGTTAGTACTCAATATACACTATATTAAAGTGGATAAAGGCATACAGCCAAATGCCAGCTGCAGTAAATTATTTTTTTTCGTGCTTGATTTGTTATTGCGGTTTTAACTATTGCTTTACTGGAGTTATCGTGTGGTCTCTGTCGTGAAAGACATTAAGATGCAGTTCACTTGAAAATACAGGTACCGGTACGTGAAAAAAAAAATGTAGCCAAATGCCAGCTGCCGTAAATTGTTTTTTTTCGTGCTTGATTTGTTATTGCGGTTTTAACTATTGCTTTAATGGAGTTATTGTGTGGTCTCTGTCGTGAAAGACATTAATATGCAGTTCACTTGAAAATACAGGTACCGGTACGTGAAAAAAAAATGTCTGGCTGATCCTTTTGCCTGTTCCTGTTCGAAATGGCCCTAATTATTTGTTCAACAGAGTGTATTGTTACGTCACTTCTGCTTCTGACTCGCCATTTAGATTTTACATCCTGTAAAATTAAGCAAACAAACAAACAAAAACATATTTTACCTTGTTGGGCACATCAGTTAGAAGTAAAAATTGTAATTTCAGTTCCTTGTTTCAACGTGATAGTTCTTCCACCCCCACGTACTGTTGCTAACTGGTCAGATTTTGTTGAAGAATTGGTCTTTTGCATAAAATTATTGTCTTGCAAATATCGTAAGGAAAACAAATCTCTTAAAATTTTAGAGAGGTACTATTCTCCAAAAAAAATTATCTCAATAAATTTTTTTTAAAAAAGACAAACTTTTTTTACGTTGCCTTTGCTCTTCCTCTTTCTCTCCGGAGATGTCGCTGCTCCATTCCCCCTCATGATGCTGTTGTATTTATCCATGGCATTGCATGCATTTATGAACGGATTCGTTGTTTTATTGCTGCTCATTGTTCAATATACACTGTATTAAACTGAGTATAGTATTATAAACAAATTCCCAATACAATTCATTGATAAAATATTTTCTCCATTTTTTGTTGGTCTTTGTACATCGTTAGCCTGTTTGATTGAATAGCAAGTTCAGATACCTGTATAGGTTTAAACAAATGTCCGGCTGATACGTTTGTCTTTGTTGGTCAAAACATGTTGCTTTACAATCTGCGATGTGTCTTCGTAAATGATTATGTAATATCAAAGATAAATAATATACAATACTTTCAGCTTCTTTCATTAGAAAGGACAGATGGTTACTTTTTCAAAGTTTCCAACTACTGAATAATTGCGTGAGGTGGTTAACATCGGTTTTTAATGGTGGGTCTACTGTTTGCTAAAAATTGTTAACTGACCTGGCAATCAATATGATTTTTTTTTAACCTTGCATTGATTCTAATGCTGAGAAATTCATATGGTTTTCTCAGCAAAATTTGCCCAACAAGAAAGACAGTAACAGCAAGTGATGTATTCAGAATCTTTTTAAAAAAATATTGTTGGTAAAAGAGCAAAATTTCCTTCAAATGTTAATTTAGATTTGATTTGACTTCATGATCAAAAATAATTAATTGCAATTACTTTTATTGAATCTTCTGATAAACTCACATTATGCTAAGTGAATCCAATTGACGTAGGCGTTCCCAGCAAGCCCTCACAACACGTTTGGGTCTGCCAGTTTGGACGGGCATTTTCCCCCACCATTGGAGCCAAAACACCATGGGGTGGTGATCAGTTGACAGCTCTGCCCCCCTCACCACCCAAGTATCCAAAACATGCGACCGCAAATCCAATGATGCAACCACAAAGTCAATCATCGAACTGTGGCCAAAGGTGTCCTGGTGCCAAGTCCACATATGGACACCCTTATGTTTGAATATGGTGTTCATTGTTTACAATCCATGACGAGCACAGAAGTCCAACAACAGAACATCGCTCGGGTTCAGCTCGAGGGGCCCGTTCCTCCCAATCACACCCTTGCAGGTCTCACTGTCATTGCCATCGTGAGCATTGCAGTGCCCCAGCAGACTGAGGGAGTCCCCAGCGGGAGCGCTCTCCAGCACAACCTCCAAGGACTCCAAAAAGGGTGGGTACGCTGAGCTGTTGTTTGGTGCGTAGACATAAGCAACATTCAGGAACCACCCGAAGGCGGAGGGAGGCTTCCCTCTGGTCCACCAGGGTGAACCCCAACACACAGACAGACACCAAGCCAAGGGGCAATAAGTATGCCCACACCTACTCTGCGCCTTTCACCACAGGCAACTCTGGAGGGTACCAGCTGGTACCAGAGCCCAAGCTGTGCACAGAGAGCACGACTACATCTTGTTAGAACCTTTCTTCTTTATACACCAGCTTAGGCTCCTTCCCTCCCAGAGAGGTGACATTCCATAAGCGAGTTTCTGTTGCCCGTGATCGGACCACCAAGGCCCTGCCTTTTGCCGCCAGTGTACCCGACCCCTTTGGCTCCTCCCAGAGGCGGTGAGCCCATGGGAAGGGGTACCCACCTTGCCTTTTCAGGCCCCATGGGTGCAGACACAGCTACCAGGCGCATGCCAGCGAGCTCCACCTCCAGGCCTGGCTCCAGAGGGGGGCCCCGGTGACCTGTGTCCGGGCAAGGGAAAACGAGATCCAAATTTCTCAATTGTAATAAGGGGTCTCTGAGGCATGTTTTGTCTGATCCCTCACCTGGGACCTGTTTGCCATGGTTGACCCTGCCAGTGGCCTAAAGCCCCGGACAACATAGCTCCCTGTATCATTGGAACACACAAACCCCTCCACCACAGTAAAAATACAATAACCCATTCAAGAGGCAGATTTGAAGCTTTATTTTCCCATCACTTGAGGGGTATTCACACGGCACACATTTGCATCGGTGCTGCACCGATGTATTTTGTTGCGATATATCTTTCACCGGTGTAAATTTTGTGGAGTGTTCACACGTATAAAGCTGCTTACTAAAGAGAAGCAGCCCCACTTGCGTTCACACGGCAGTTTCTGCGGCCATGCAATACGGAAATAAAACATGCACATGCGTAAAGTGTACTTCCTTCTCCCCGCCTTGTTTGTGACATATCGAAAAACCATGGTTTATACTGAAGTCTGTATTCTGCTCAAATTCAGTCATACTGTATAACTGTCCCATGCCCACGGCATAGCTTGGTGTCCTTGAAGAAATCATCACAGAGAATTGGAATAATCCCTGCTGGAGACGCACAAACATTGGAATGCGCTAAGCTGAGAATCGGTTTAGGAGAAACGAAAGTTATGTCGCACCTTGTGTCTCGGTACCGCCCTTCTGATGGTATAAAAGTGATGTGAATCTCTTCCTGCTTCGCACTCGTGACGCGCAGCAATTGTCTGTAATTCGCGGGTGCTCGGAATATTCTGTTATTAAAAGCTTTGAAGGAACTTATCATCGAATCCAGCCTTTATTTGAAGAACCAACATTCTCCTCGTCCGAAATTCAGCGAACACGTGGAAGAAAGAAGGCCGCTTTCCTCCAACAATACTTATCCAGACAAATTAATGCTGTCAGACACCGTAAAAGGATGAGAGAGGGAAAGGAAAGATGGCGGAAGTACAACAGTGCACGAAAGCAACGCATTCTACGATTCATTCGGCAACATCAACTCTTCTCACGTGTAGCGAGTCTACCGCTGTGGCGTTCACACGTCCCATTTTATATCGGTGCCGCCCCGCAAACTAACATTTACTCCGAAGTAAATTTTTAAACCACCCCCTGAGCAGGGTTAAATTTGCTCCGGTTTAAGCTGTTTTCAGAGGCTACACCGGTATAACTTTGTACGTGTGAACGCTCTACGGGGGGCAGCCCCTGTGCCACACCGGAGTAAAAGTTGCCGTGTGAACACACCTTTGGTGATGCTACGACTGCCTTAGGATCTGACAATGTCTCCATTACTTCTCAGAGTAAATAAAAAAAGAAAAAAATGATGCCCACCTTAGTGAGAAGTCTGATGCTGATACAAACAATCTTTCATTGGACGAGAATGCAGATAAAAACTCCAGAGGCTTAGTTTTTCCACCCCCCAAAAAAGCGAGATTAGTTCTTATCTCTCTACTTGTCCTTAGTGTCTACAAGTTGACCCATCTGTGGAACATAAAAAAGTCAACGTAAAATTGTTAAAAACGGGAACCATCAATAGCCTGTTAAACTTTTGCATACATATTGAAAGTCTTTGTGCTCAACACTTGGGCATTTGATGCTGTCCTTCAGAGCTTATGTTGTTCCTTTTGTCTCAGCATTTCATTTGAATAGCTAGCAACAACTGCGAGAATCAATTTTTCCAACTGGTGAAAACAATCACTATACTGAATGTGACCCAACAGAAGTACTCACAGAGGGCAGAACTGCTGAGGGAAGTCTAAAAAGGCTTTCCTGAACTCTCGTGATCTCCAGTTTGATGCACAATGCCACATCGCTACAACAGTGATTGACAGAGCCATGAGGAATTTTTGTCAATTAAAAAAAAAAAATCCTCGAAGCACTTGTTCTTGTTGACTGTTTATGTTTACTTGTTGCAACGCATATGGTTAGATGATGTAGGTTTTTTGACACATAAAATCATTGTTTAAACCAAATTGTTTTTTCTGGGGGGCTGTCATAAATTTTACATTTAGGTATTCATTGTTTTATTGATTTAATGGTTCTCAAATGGGTGAACACATGCCCCCGGCAGTATGTGAAGGCACTTCAGTGGGTACTTGAGATTTTAGAATATATTTTAAAAGTCGCATCCATGCAAAAAAAGAGCTTGATTTTTGTACCGAGCTGTGATTGTGACTATAATGGTTGTTTGTCCATTTGTGCCCTTCAATTGGCTGACAACCAGTTGAGGGTGTCCTACGCCTACTCCTCCAAGACAGCTGGGATAGGCCCAGCCCCGCCCACAGCCCTGTGAGGATAAAGCGGTTCAGATAATTGATGGATGAAAAAATACGAAAACGCACTAACACACACACACACACACACACACACACACACACACACACACACACACACACACACACACACACACACACACACCGAGAGGTGGTAAATCCAGGTTCAGAAAGAAAAAAACACTGGCGGAGTTTGACTTTAGCTGCAGGTGCTTCAACTCAACCTGTGAAGGACCTGTGCCTAAAGCCAAATTGTGGCAGGGTTTTTACTTTTTGACCTAAATTTGACACTTCTGCCCCCTCATGCACAAGAAAAACACTTGTTGGCACAGTACTGTATATTAACGAATGCAACCTATTAATTCCTGTTCAAAACAGTCATTAAAGTCAACCTATTTAACCACCGTGCCGGGAGATAATTCCAAAAATACAAATCTAATTACGAGTAGTCAGAAAAACGAAGTTAATTTATGATAGGCAAATATAGCATTTTAATATGCAATCTGTTTGCCATATTGAGTACAGTACGAGACAGAAGTACAGTACACTCCGGTACGGCAGGTGGCGACAAAGAACATTCAATCTTATGGTCCAACTCTTTATCCAAAGAAGAAAACTAAAACAGGTTCTCAGACCCTCTCTCACGTTTCCAAGTACAGTACAGTGTAGTGAATCAAGCCCGGGTTGTCTGTTCAGCACTTGCTAAGCTCACATTCGTTCGCATCACGCAACAGAGATGTTTGCCTGTAGAGCGGCCTGGCGAAGGTGTGGACCTTTAGCCAAGAGAACAACCTTCAAACTGCTTCGCGAGGGTGAGTCCATTCAAACAACAAAGCGGCTTTTATATTATCATCGCTTAATTTTACTTTTTAACGAATGTCAACGCCATGGATCGGTTGCGTTGCTTTTTCAACGAGACCACGAGTGTCACCAGGGAAATAGTACACGTTGTTCCAGATGAGTCCTGCACTCACTGCAGCGATGTCAAGTCCCACGTTGAAACGTGAAGGTCATTTTAGAATTTCTATTCGCGTCGTGATGGTTACTCATTCTATACAAATGTGGATATACGTTTAGAAATAATAATTGGGAAACCAAGACGTTTAACGAGCATAATTGTTCTTGCTTTCCGTCTAGTATCGAACAAGGTACAATGTGTGATATGTTCAATCATATGTTTGCTTTGGCGTGGTTGAAAGAGTTCATTTAAAGGATCAGGTATGATTTTTGTATGTTTGTGTGTGTGACCTTCACCACAGGATACAAGAAATGGTTGCTACTGTGGGTCACGTTGTATGTGAGTGTGACCGTCGACAAATCGATAGAATGCATCAGTTCTGTAATTCCGGAGCCCCAAAGTTACTTAAACCCAGTTTTACTTAAACCCAGAGTTACTGCTTGGGTCAAAAACTAATGCGTCTGGAAGACGTTTAATCATTTGTTTACATGGGCTTCACTTTTTTTGAAAGCATTTATGTTCAATTACTTTTTCTGGTAGCTTTTATTAAATAAGGCTCGTTCACAACATGCTAATGAGAGTACTGGAGACCTCCGTAAACCGTAAACGTGTGAAATTGTTGGGACAAATGTGTGACAAACCCTCGCCACTCCACCTTCCACCACTTAGGTGATCACACTAAATCAGATGGTATCATGGCTTAATCTTCTGACCTGCATACCCTCTACAGTTCATAATGATCATCAACCCATGTAACATTAGATTTAAACAGATTAACTGTTAAGTAATTGAGGTAATACCCTCTGCATGAAATAGCAGCATTTTACATACACGGCAATTTTCCGCGGATCCGCGGAAATCCGCCGTTTTATTTCTTAAATTGATCATTTTTGTGAATCGTCTAAATCCGTTGAGAAAATTTTAGGGGCGGTCAGGTACCTTATCGTCAAGTTTTCACGAGCTCTCCCGAACAGTCTCTCCGTTTTCCGTTTGTAAACAGCCCTGCGATTGGACGTGTATGAAAGCTTCAAATAATCAAATCACTGAAGGCATTATTTGTTGCAGAAGTCTTAGCTCGATTATAAACAGCCCAGCGATTGGTTAACTACAACCGATTGGACCAATCAAATTGCATGTAACATATTGTTTTACCTGATTCATGGCGGCCTGTTTGTCTCGCAAATTCATTAGTCTGGGATCGTTTTGAGCGGAATTATGAAATTTATGACGAAAGATCAGGAGTCTTTAATCCTAGAAATTGACTCAAATGTCAAGAATAAATTCCGATTGGACTGGCTTGACAGAAAAGTCACTGTAAATGTTAAAGCAGATCCCATCAAGTGTGTTGCCGTGTTGGTTGGTGACTGAGAGACCAAACTGGATATATCGAGGAAAAGGACCAATATCCGCAGTTGGAGGCATGTAGGCTACTTTCATGAAGTTGACGGCATGCTAAGGAAACCAGGAAGCCAGAGACCAGGAAGTGACAGTGAAATTCAACCTGAGTTATGAAGGACAGCATATGGACTGAAGTACCGATCAAGCTAAGCATCGTTACACATGGTCAGACTCATTTAGCATTGTGAAATCAGTTCACAAAACTAAAAACAATCTACGAAATAGTACCTGTGTGAAGAGCCTCAACACTGGCGCATTGGTGTCTTTGGTGAATGTGGGTATACTGTCCACGAGGAATAACCTCCCTGCATCCTCGCTGCTGCTCTTCAGAATCTTAAATATGGCAGGGAATGTGTTTACTTTTTTAGTTTTGATTTTGAGCAGCAAATTTGGAGTTACATGTTGGTGCTCACCAGGAATGCATAGGCAAAATTGCACAAATTTTCACTTGAAAGAATAGTGGCGATCTTGGGATTTTTTTCTGTTCAATTTTCAAACTGTGTAAATTTAATACACTTCATCTTCAGCATGGTTAGTGCCACTTTTGTAAGTAACCACGCCCCCGTCCAGGCCACGCCCCTTCCACTTTTTTCATCACTCGCCATTGCCATGTATGATTTTAGTGGGTTCATTTTTGAACTATGAAAAAGGCCCTTTTATTTGGTCATTCTTAAATTATGTAAGCATTCAGGAAGGTATGCACGGTCGATTGTCTCGTGTTCAGTAAGGCTGTTGTACGGCACGGTAATGCATTCATAACTAATCAAAATAGGAAAGCTCATTTTGACTTGTGCATGTTTTGCATTGATCATGCGTTTTTTGTTCGTTGTACAGTTTAATATGATTTTTAGTTTTGCTATCATGAATTTATCGAGGATTTCAAGTCAGTAATAAAGAAAAATTATGTTGCAGCCATTTCTGACACAATGGATGTCACATACAAGGTAGTTACATAATCTGCACCATGTTGCTATACTCTTCAACCTCTACCATTTGTGACTGTCGCAAGGTCACTTTCTAAGTCTGATTTGTCGCCGTTAACAAGATTTGCATTGAGCCTATTAGGAGACTGGTGGATCAACAGTCTTCTGTTAGCAGATGATGTAGTTTTGTGTAATTGTTTATTTAATTAGATTTTTTTTTGGGCTTTTGTTTTTCCAGGTTTGCAACAGAGGCAAATGTCATCAACACCTGGCGGGTCTGGGGAAAACATTCTTTACACTGTGCTGTGTGGTGGAGCTTTCGTTGGTGCTGTATCATATGTGAGTTGTGGGGTTCCCCTTTTCTCTATTTTCATTTTGAATTTCTTATTTATAATCAAACATACAGTGGTATCTAAGGTCGAGTACAGCCTATTCTAGCCAGCTGACCTCAAATTTGTTTCCTGAAGAATATTTTTGGAACATTTTAACCTTAACCTGGCCACGCAAGTGTAAAAATGTGTTAGCCATTGTAAAAGTAGTGAAACAATGAAAATCTATTCAGATTCTTAAATAAAACAGAGCTGCCAACTGTTCCGAATTGTCCGTATTTTGTTCCAGAAATCTCTGAACACAACCTTAATATGGCCGGATATTAAAGTCATGAAATAAGTAATGGGGCACATTGGCTAAAATGGTTGAACATTAGTAAAAATACTTGTAGATAATTTGAGCTGTGCGATATAATGATATGCAGGATATCGCAAAGACAAAAGAGAACATTTTATTGTGTGACTTTTTCTACTATCGACTCACTTTTTCAACTCGGGCATGTTATCATGTCACTTTATCGAATATCGTATTGTCATTTGTCATCTGCAGCAAATTGAATGCAATAAATCAATTCATCAAATAAGCTTGATCCTGTGCTGTACATCTTGTTCATACGCAAGTTTGCGGCGGCAGTTGGTTTCCCACGGTTCCTTGTAACAAAGGCGTTTTCACTATTTTGTGGGAAAAATCTGTCCGTTATAATTAAGTTTGTGTTATAAAGGCGATTTTTGTTTTCAAATGGCAAATGAATTTCGTGCAATCGGGACTTTGAAATGTAAACTTTATAGGGGTAGTAAACGTTGTAAAGGGGTACTTTGAAACGAGGTTCGACTGTACAGGGCAGTGAATCACAATACATTATCACCGTACTAAACAAACATATGGTTCAATATTAAATCTCATGAAAATTAATAAATATCGAGGTGGGTAAATGCAAATAAATACTATTGTGTTGAGAAAGAACAAACTAACAAAAACACAAATGTAGTAATTATCTATGAACAAAAATAAACAAACAAACAATGGCCTCAAGGTGTGCTTGATATGCCTTCAAACTATACAAGCATAACAGCGTTTATTTTGAGCCTCATCACAACACAACGAATAGCATGTCTTAGGTTTTTCCGATAAGTGAATGGCGGAGACATCTCATAAAAGCTTCAATGGATGGATTGCTTATGTCACCTGAATCTGGGGAGTCGGCAGGTCGAGGCGAAGCGAGACTGAGCCACAGCAAGTGATAGCAAGTTTAGCAACAAGTTTTGGCTGGCTACTACTGCTTGCTGAACATGTTGCGGTTTTGGTGCTAACTCAGCAATCATAGCCTTCATCATCGCACCTCCATGGCGGCAAATAAGGTACACTTCGTACAAAAATCGTTCTAACGAAAAGATCAGTTTTGAATAGATTAATTTCATCGCCAACATGAAAAAATAGTAAATTACTGCATAGTGTTGGGCTGCACCGGTTAGCGCAGGGGTCGCCAACCCAAACTGTTGAGCCATATTGGACCAAAATAAACAAAAAACAAATATGTCTGGAGCCGTAAAAAATAAAAAGCCTTATAATGAAGGCAACACATGCTGTATGTACCTAGATGAGCTATATTAGCCTGCTATCAACATGACTAAGTTGGCTACAAATACACAACGAGCATTCATGATTAAAAGTTTTTTTTTTCCCCTGCAGTTCATTCTGTAGAGGAGGGGTCCCCAAACTTTTTTGATGGAAGATCTACTTTTCAAACAATCAACCTCCCCCGATCGACCGTTACCGCACACACAGGCATACGCACACACTTACACACGCATGCCGCAATGAGCAACAGCCAAAACGGCCGCTAAGATGAACGAGGCACGGGACGCACTTTCGCGGCGTGCTAACTATTGTAGCTCACGTGTACCGTTTAAAAATGCTTCTCTTGGCCGCCCAGATTCCCATTCTTAGCAAGTACCCTCGGTGAATTGTACATGAAAGGCAGCTGTTTTTTTTTTTAAACAGCCCCCTTACTTACATCCCGCCCTGCTAATAGAAACGTGTGTCACAGGCTCTGACGCAAATATTTGTTGATGAAATGTTGACATTTAATATATATTCGACACATTTTTACAGCATCGGAAAATGTTAATGTTAATAATGTTTGTGTCATGTTTGTCCTCTGACAGAAACCGTATTAAAACAAAAAAATAATAAACTAAATAAAATACCGTATTTTCCGCACTATAGGGCGCACCAAAAAGTCTTTCATTTTCTTAAAAGCTCACCGAGCGCCTTAAAATCCGGTGCGTCTTCTGTATGGTCATTACAGTAATACATTGGCTTTAAGATGGCTCCTTCCTGGAGAGATGCTTCCATTGTTATAACTTGCTGTTGGTTCAGTGAACTGTGTCGCTGCTTTATTAAATACGTTTTTGTTGCGGCTCCGAAAAAAGGAGAGCTGTGGTGTTGTTTTTTTAAAATAGTCTCAACAAATGCAGTTAAGTCTTTGTCCTTCTCCGTGCCTTCTGTTCTTCAGTTCAACTCGAAAGGCGTTCAAGACCTCTGAAAAACGTAAACTAACGATTACTTCAATGAAACTACGAAAATTGAAAATAATACATCAAAACTGAAAAGCAAGCGAGGATATCACAAAATAAATTCATTCTATAGTCCCCCCGACAGAATTTATATTGTGATTTCATCATTTGTGAATACACAACAAAGGAATAAATAACTACTACTGACATCTGATCGTTCTGTAGTTAGAGCTATGATCAAGGAAATGCCAATGCGTTTTTCGGAGGCGGTCATGAACGCCTCTCGGGTTGAACGGAAGAGAAGGCACGGAGAGGGACAAAGATTCACCTGTATTTGTTGAAAAAAGGAGAGCTGTGGTTTTATTTTTTTTTTAAACGCAGACTTTATTAATGGTTTTCACAGTCTAAACAATGACAGGTACTCTACGTCTTTGTCCGTCTCCGTGCCTTCTCTACTTCCGTTCCACTTGAGAGGCGTTCATGGCCGCCTCTGAAAAACGTAAATTAATGATTACTGCAATGAAACTACGAAGAAAATCAAGCTAGGAAATCACAAAATATATAGTATTTATTGTGATTTCCTCGCTTGATTTTCTGTTTTGATGTATTATTTTCAATTTTCGTAGTTTCATTTAAGTACAGTAATAGTTAATTTGCGTTTTTCAAAGGCGGTCATGAACACCTCTTGAGTTGAACGGACGCCTCTCGAGTTGAATGGAAGGAGCATAGCACCATCTAGTGGAGGCATTGTAGATTGCGCCTTATAATGCGATGCGTACAATGTATGAAAAAAAATTGCAAAATAGCCATTCATTGAAGATGTGCCTCATAATCCAGTGCGCCTTTTCGTGCGGAAAATACAGTATTTCCCTCCCATCTTTTTCCATTTTCAAACATTTTTGTAAAAGCTCTAGGGAGCCACTGGGAGGCGCTAAAGAGCCAAGAGCCGCATGCGGCTCAAGAGTCGCGTATTGCCGACCCCTGGGTTAGCGTGTCAATCTCACAGGCTTTGATTTCGGCTCTGGCCTTTCTGTGGGGGGTTTGCATGTTTTCCCCGTGCCTGCCTGGGTTTTCTCCGGGTACAGTACTCTGTTTTCCTCCCACATTCCAAAAGCATGCCTGGCAAGTTAATAGAACACTTTAAATTGCCCCTAGGTGTGAGTGTGAGTATGGATGCTTGTTTGTCTCTGTGTGCCCTGCGATTGACTGGCAACCAGTTCAAGGTGTACCCGGCCTACTGCCCGAAGACAGCTGGGATATAGGCTCCAGCGCGCCCCGCGACCCTTGTGAGGATCAGCGGATTAGAAAATGGATGGATGGATGTTTGGCTGCAACAACAGGTGGAAGAGGCAAAATCTCACTTCTCTGTTTACACGGCAAGCATTTGTCAATTAGCAAGACGGAAACTGTGCCTTTCATGGATCAGCTCCTGATCTCACTCCGGCCACATATCCAGCCCATAAATCTGTGTTTGTTCCAAACATTTCCTTGAAGCCATGCTTTTTCACTTAGCGATGTTACAAAACAAATCCAACCATCCAACATACATACATACTACTGTATACACAGTACATCATGTTAAATGATGATTAGTTTTTAATACATATCATGTTCCAATAAGCCCAGATCGCAAAGAGAAATAAATAAATGCCATAGATGGCAATTTTCCGCGGATCCGCGGAAATCCGCCGTGTTATTTCTTAAATTGATCATTTTTGTTAATCGTCTAAATCAGTTGAGAAAATTTTAGGGGCGGTCAGGTACCTTATCGTCGAGTTTTCACGAGCTCTCCCGAACAGTCTCTCCGTTTTCCCTTTGTAAACAGCCCTGCGATTGGACGTGTATGAAAGCTTCAACTAATCAGATCACTGAAGGCATTATTTGTTGCGGAAGTCTTAGCTCGATTATATACGGCCCAGCGATTGGTTAACTACAAGCGCTTGGACCAATCAAATTGCATGTAACATATTGTTTTACCTGATTCATGGCGGCCTGTTCGTCTCGCAAATTCATTGTTCTGGGATCGTTTTGAGCGGAATTATGAAATTTTTGACGAAAGATCAGGAGTCTTAAATCCTAGAAATTGACTCAAATGTCAAGAATAAATTCCGATTGGACTGGCTTGACAGAAAAGTCACTGTAAAGGTTAAAATTGGTTCCAAGTTCGACGAAGTTACAGAAGCTCTTGGACAATTTTTGAAGAAACCAGACGTAGCAGGCAAAGATTATTGTGTGTATTGGAGTGACTTAATTAACTATGGCTCCCGTGGATGCGTGGCACTGACAGATCATGCAACAAAAGTGAAAAAACATGCCGACAAAATCGCCATTCGACGGAGCAATTATTCTTTGGGATCGGCATTTTTCAAACAAACTTAGTCAGCGGATACAACTAAAGACGTGACTGTATGAGGTAAGAATCAACAGCTTTTTATCACATTTACACAACACTTTATGAATACAAGTCATGAACAAATCTTAAATATGGCAGGGAATGTGTTTATGTTTTGAGCAGCAAATCTGGAGTTACATATGCTCACCAGGAATGCATAAGCAAAATTGCACAACTTTTCACTTGAAAGAATAGTGGCGATCTTGGGATTTTTTTCTGTTCAATTTTCAAATAGTGTGTAAATTCAATACACTTTATCTTCAGCATGTTTAGTGCCACTTTTATAAGTAACCACGCCCCCGGCCAGGCCACGCCCCCGGCCAGGCCACGCCCCTTCCGCTTTTTTCATCACTCGCCATTGCCATCTATGAAATGCTGACTTTCTGCTTTGGCTCTCACCAGAGGTGTTGGCTTTCTGCTCTAATCCTCTCCCCTTTGTTTTCTTCTTTTGTGCTGTCTTTTGCCTTAACTGTCATCCCCAGCGTCCTGCTTTTTTTAATGTGGATGCAAGAATTTTTTTCCACAATCCCATTGAGTGGGGCACAGGCTGGAATAGTTTTTTTGCTCATCGCTCTTCCCTACCATCTAAGAAACTCAGGGCACGAAGCAGTGAACTACCGGACTTCACTTTCTGTCTCCCTCTATTGGTCATTGTTATTTTTCATGTCACTTGGTCGGGTTGTTAACTGTGCAGACAAATTCCTTGTGTGTTTTTATATACGTGGCAAATAAAGATGATTCCTATGTAACAGCTCTAAATGTAAACGGAAACCCTCCATGCTTGAGCCGTGTTAATGGTAAAATTGTTATTGTTCTAAGACTGTGAAATTTCTCTCCTCAGGCTTTCAACACTGTGTCCACTGACAGTGCCAGATTCAATGAACGCATTTCTGAAATTAATGCTAGACCCAAGAAAGAATGGACGCCTAAACCATGGCCTCCTAAGAGTAAGTACTTGTATCCCACCATGAGTTGTACAGTGTTTACTCCAGGGGTGCGCAAACTTTTTTGACCGAAGATCTACTTTTCGATCAACCAACCTGCCGCGATCGACCCGTTACCGTGCACGCACGCATACGCACGCACGCCATGATGAGCAATAGCCTGATGCTGAGGCATGCGACGCACTTCGGCAGCCTGTTAACGATCGTAGCTCACGCGTACCGTTTTAAAATGCTTCTCTCGGCCCTCCAGCTTCCCATTCTTTGCCCGTCCCCTCGGTGAATTGTACAAAACAAACTCTGAATGAGAATATTGATAACGATAAAAGAAATAGCGCAACAACTCTGATCACAAGCTGCAACTGCTGAGCGCTAACAACTTCCGGTGACACAGTCACACGTCACCATAGGTTAAAGATGACCTGCTTTATTTGATTTTCTTTTTTAAATACTTTTTGTGAAAGTGAGACTGATTGAAAGATTAGGGTGCAGTGTGCATTAACACAAAAACTATATTACCAACATGCACAGAGACATAAATGTTTTTTTTTTTCCTTCTACACCCCTCGGATCGACTTGGGACCAGTGCTTGATCTACTGGTCGATCGCGATCGACGTAATGGGCACCCCTGGTTTACGCAAATATGCGCGATTCACTGGTCATGAAGGCATCTCTTAAAAGGATATTTTTGGTACCTATCCTGTGTTTTAATCCAATTCAATTTTATTTATTGAGCACTTTTATGCACCCTGTAACCTGATAACATAAGCTGTTCACTGTTGTAACTGCTGTCCCCGAAAGGGTTAAAAACAACACGTTTGAGCAAAGTACTGGACACAAATCCAATAAAAAAGCCACAAACAAATGGGAAAAAAAAGACCTCAGAAGACTAAACAGCAAAAGTCAACCCTGAGTTAGAGGCCAGTGAGATCAACTAAATTAGTTTGTGGCAGCGACTTGGACAGGAAGTGAATTGGCCTGTCTGTACTTATTCACTGTTTTTGTGCCCAGGCCAGCGCCCTGTGCAATATAAAATTATTGCTTTGGCACATCTTTGATTTTCATGTTCTTTCCTTAAGTCTTACTTTTCTTTTATTAACAAAGGGGTACCAATAATTTTATCCATGTGTACAACTGTACTAGCACTCGTGACTCTCCTTATTGTCGCCTGGCCTTGGTTATTTTAGGAGACCTTTCAAAAAAATCCACCAAATGAAATGGTCCAGGACCTTTTGCAGTAGGAAAGAAAATCCATAACTTTTGTCGATTCTTCAATACTTACATCCAGCCAAAGTCTCTGGCTTTTGTTTTTCAATATTTCATAAAAACAGGGTGTAGATCACTGTCTGTATGTTTGCCATTTTCAAAATGATAACATGGAAATTTTGTCTCTGTTGTTTGCAGGCCAGGATGTTGAAGATGGTAAGTTGATTTGAATATGATTCGTGTTCATTTATTAAACATTGCTTGATAACTTGACGTGAATGCTTGCATCTTGTCTCACAGAAATTTTGGGTCTTGTCCAAGTCCCTGTAATATTTTCTGTATATTTTTCTTTTAAACGGGAATGAAATGCCGTCCTTCACATTAATCTGTCTTGTGAATGAGATCTTTGATCACGTTTATTGAAGAAACCTCCTCTTGTGATTACCCTCCAAGCTTACGGTACCTTACCCTGTAATCTTTCCCCTGCACGATTTAATATCAGTTTTTTTTTTCCCACTGAAGTGTTTTGTTGGTACATTATCGATGCTGTATTTAAAACGTTTAGTATTGCCATCATTTCCTCAACACACCTATCAGAAGGACTTGACAGAACGAAGCCTCCATTTACTTTTTCATTGGCTTTGTGGTTTCACTCAGATTTAAGGAGTTTATTTAAAGTGAGCTATTTGTCCTACTTCCTGTAACCCTTCTGTTTTTTCTTTACCTTTTTCAGTGTAATGGTAATGCTAAGGTCTATTCCTGCCTGTCTACGGCTATTCAACCTTAAACTGGACTCTTTGGATCTGAAAAGGAAATCTCTTTCCCTCTATCCTCAAGCGCATCGGACATTACTTTCTTCAGTTTTGAGCAATGTTGGTGAATCTTAAAGGACCATATATGGACTTTAAATCACAAGTAGCCACTTCGAACAACATTGTAAATTGTTATAAACACCAGTTTGCGCCTCACTAAAATGGGTTATTTAGATTAGGGATGTCCAAATGGCACGAAGAAAAACTGAAAGATGCAATGGCCGCTTTGACATTGGTCACATTTGGATTGATTTAAAAGGGATGCGCAGCAATTATGCACTACTCTCAAAAAGTAAGGGATTATGGGCTTTTGGATGAAATTTCCAAATGAACCTAAAATGCCTCTACTGGTGATCAAAACTGTACTTTCTCTCATTCTTGTGTCCAACTGTCCATTGTTTCAGGACAAGTTTGCACACCTTGAAATTCTCTAAGTCAGAGGTCCCCAACCGCCAGTCCGCATACCGGTACCGGTCCGCCGGGCATTTGGTACCAGGCCGCACAGAAAGAACTTGCCTTAATTCCATTTTATTTATTTCGGAATACGAAAGATATTTTATTTTGTAAAACTACCGGATTCTCCGTTACATCCGTCTGTGTCACGCTTGACACACGTCAAGCCACGCTTCTCCGTCACGTGACCGATTACTTCAAAACAAAATGCAGGAGCTCGCAAAATGAGTAAAAAAAACTGCTGGAGATCGCAAATCACGGCGGCCTTAAAAGTACGTTCGAGACAACTGGATTAAAGTTATGGCTGAATACTCTGAGATCGCCACAATAGCATTGTTGCTATTTCCGACATCCTACCTGTGTGAGGCGGGGGGTTTCTGCAGCAACGGCGACAAAAACAAATTTACGAAGTAGACTGGACATAAACCACACACTTGAGGTGTCATTGTCTCCTATTACCCTGAGATGGGACCGTCTGGTTGCAGAAAATCAAGCTCGGTGCTGTGGTGAGTCGTCATTTTCATGCACTTTGAATTTGCGTTGTATCGTATTTTGAAGGCATTAAACATTGCCATAGCGATCGGAGTGTTGCGGCCAGATTCGACGCTCCTTGTGTTTATTATTATATTTCGAAAACGCCACAGTTTTCATGCAGCTCATACCATATTATTTCGTTGTATTATTTCCACCACACCTTAAATGCCGGTCCCTGAAAATATTGTCTGACATAAACCGGTCCGTGGGGCAAAAAAGGTTGGGGGCCCTGCTCTAAGTAGCCGAACGTCAAAATCCACTAACGTGTTTGATCCATGAATCGACCATTCGCCTTTCTGTGACTCGTCTCGTCTCTGTATATCTTTTGCAACCTACTGATGACACTCTAAACGCAGTGGCTATGTTAGCTCTGAGGACATGCTGTTTGTAGCTTCACAATGACGAGTTACTGTTGCTCATTTGTTCGGTGTTGTCTTGGTCTCATGTCAGAATGTTAACCGCATGACTAATTTAACACTACTTCGAAAGAACCAGAAAATGTTTTGGCCAATTTATGGACCAAACACCTGTTGGGAATTTTGCCATTTAGCTGCCATTCAAGTTGTGCAATAAAGAAGTTGTACAAGCTCAACTCAACTCAACTCAACTCAACTGTATTTATAGAGCACTTTCAAACAGCCATTGCTGCACACTAAGTGCTGTACATGGAGCAGCTAACATATACAACAGTAAAGCAACAAATCAGTAACAAAGACGGTAGAGAGCACTAAACAGTATTATAACTACGATCATAATTTGGGTCATGCTGAATCAAATGCTAAAGAATACAAGTGAGTTTTGAGGCGGGTTTTAAAGATCGGCAGCGAGGGGGCTTGCCGAATGTTCAGTTGGAGGTCATTCCAGAGAGAAGGACCAGCAACTGAAAAGGCTCTATCCCCTCTGAGCTTCCGTTTAGTTCTTGGTACTTGGTCCACAGACCTGAGGCGCCGTGCAGGTGTGTAGGGGCGGATGAGCTCAGAGAGGTAAGGTGGCGCGAGGTCATTTAAAGTCCAGTATCCCAACTCTTTCTGTGTAGCGTTTGCATATCGCTGCCGGCCTTTTAAAAACAACAATGACAATTTTTCAGCTCAGCTGAGCCAAAGGGCGAAGCTCTCAATTTACCGGTCGATCTACGTTCCAACCCTCATCTATGGTCACGAGCTATGGGTCGCGACCGAAAGAACGAGATCCCGGATACAAGCGGCCGAAATGAGTTTTCTCTGCAGGGTTTCCGGGCTCTCCCTTTGAGATAAGGTGAGAAGCTCGGTCATCCGGGAGGGGCTTAGAGTCGAGCTGCTTCTCCTCCACATCGAGAGGAGCCAGATGAGGTGGCTTGGACATCTGATTCGGATTCCTCCTGAACGCCTCCCTGGTGAGGTGTTCCGGGCATGTCCCACCGGGAGGAGACCCCGAGGACGACCCAGGACACGCTGGAGAGACTATATCACCCAGCTGGCCTGGGAACACCTCGGTATCCCCCGGGGAGAGCTGGAAGAAGTAGCTAGGGAGAGGGAAGTCTGGGCTTCCCTGCTAAAGCTGCTGCCCCCGCGACCCGGCCCCGGATAAGCGGTAGAAGATGGATGGATAACCATTTTTTTCATTTACATTTTTTTTCTTAACAATAGTGAAGTGTCTACATTTTGGACATCCCTTTTAATAGTTAAAAAAAAACATTCTGACAAAAATGGACAGTTTTTTTCTTTTTCACGGGACAGCGGCGATATGCACAGTTGGGGGTATGAATCCAGGTTGGGCCCTGCTTTGTGAATTTCGCATGTGTTTTCTCCAGGTACTCTGGCATTCACCCACATTCTAAAAACAAGCATTTTAGTTCATTAAAGTCTCTAAATTGTCAATAGGTGTTAATGTGAATGCTTGTTTGTCTATATTTATCACGCTGTTAGCTGACGACCAGTCCAGGGTATTCACCGCCTTTTGCCTGAAGTCAGATGGATTATGGTCCAGTGGCAGTGGCGGGCCGTGCATTTCAACCATAGGCCTTCAGTGACGTCACATACATACACAATATAGGCTCGTCAAGCAGCACTTAATTTCAGGAGCATTTAAAACCATCAAGTGTGCATTCACAATTAAGAGCAGGAAACTAAATTTACAGAAAGTCAAAAATAAAAAGATGATTTAAAAATACGAAATAAAATGCCACCCAAATTACGCTGTGTGATCTGAAACAAGTCTGTCCAATAAATTGCGCAATGTCGCAGTTTCATACAAGACACCAACCAAACAATAACAAAACAAACTAATCTTTGAAAATAAACAGATCATTTGCATTTTGAAAATCGGCGATTCAACAGCAAATAACTGAAAATGTTGAGCAGCTGAGATTGAACGAACTTTCGTGCACGAAGGTGACTACAATGCGCCATTATAAATTGCAGGTGAGCAGATTTATTTGATACACGTTTGTCATTTTATTTCGTTACCATGAATTTAATACTAACAAAATAAAATGACAAGAAGAAATGTAAAATAAAATTCATT